CAAGCTTCAATGGTGCCTGATAAACCATTACAATCTTCTAAGACTTCGGGCTCTTGGATGCCTTTACACTTCACTCCAAGTTTACTTAGGAATTTGGTATCCTCTCAAATACAAAGGACTCACTCCCCTATCAATTCAAGAAATTAAATGGAGGTGTTTAATAATGACTAAGTACTCTCAAAGTACAAATTATACAAGTTGAAGAACTAATGGGTGTATAGCTTTAAATCAAAGATGAGCTCAAGAATATGTAATAATCATAGTATGTAATCAATGAGCAATAATGAGTTGGAAGGAGCAATAATGATTCAATAATTGATGTGTATTCGTCCAATATTGATTACTGTAGCTACAAGTATATATAATTGCATCTCCAACAAAAACTAGTCGCTTAAAGCCGTTGGACACTGTACATATTCGGATAATTGTCGAGGCCATATCTGGATATTGATATCCGGATATTGAAAATCCAATATCCCAATATTTCTTGGCTGCAACTTTTTTGCACGAAATCTTGAATTCTTCTCATACAAAATGACTTCTAATGTATTGAACACATGTAATTGGGTATGGAGAATGTTTCTAAGTATTCAAATCATGTAAAGATCATTCCAAACTATTTTGACATATTAAACCATTCAAATTGTCCTTTTTCAACCTTTAGTGTTCAAGATGCATTCTTTCAAGTTCAAATAGATTTTCAAAAGTGTGAACAAGTATATTTTGGTTGTGTAAGGCTGCTTGTATACTCAAATCATATTAAAAGCCTTTTGATGCAATTTTGACTTATCAAACCAAGATTTTTAAAGCACTTTATGAGTATGCAATAATATAAATGACTTAAGCTCATGCAATTCTATATGCTTATACCTTTACATAATTGTCCTAAGTCTTAAATATGTATTCTAATGAGATCTTGGACTTAGCTTCATTGTTTAAGGCTTGATGCTTGACTTTGACTTGCTTTCACATAGGCTTGGATTCTTTTTGAGTGTTACTTGTTTATGACTCTGGAATCTCCTTCTTTAAGTTTGTTTGTAATCATCAAAACCATGTGGATGTGGCATCATCAAGTTTATTAGTTTTGAGCGCGTAGCATCACACCATCACCTTGATTCTACACTCAACACCAAGGAAATACTTAAGGGGTCAAGATCCTTCAACCAAAAACAGTTGTCAAGAGAAGATATAAATTTCTGAATTGCAATAGAATCATTAAAGGCAACAATGACATAATCAACATAAATAAGAATAGAAATCATAATGTTATCATTAAAATGCAAAAAAAGAGAATTATTAGCTACTAATTGAGTGAATTGCATTGACAGCAAGGTAGAGCTAAGTTTTTGGAACCACTGTCCAAAGGCATATTTGAGGCCATAAAGTGATTTGCATAAATGACATATAAGATTGGGTGGAAGAGGCTCCCCCTGGCAAAGATATCTTGGAGGCAACTTCATGTAAACCTCCTCACTAAGGTCACCATGTAGGAACGCATTATTGGCATCCATCTGATGAAGGAACCAGCCATGGATAGCAGCAAGGGCAAGTAGGAGCTGAACAGTAGTTATCTTTACTACAAGATAGAAGATGTCAAAATAGTCAATGCCCTCCTATTGAGAGAATCCTTGAGCAACAAGAGGAGCCTTGTATCTTTTAAGAGCGCCATTAGCATTGTACTTGACTCGATAGACCCATTTGAAACCAATTGGAGTTTTGTTAGGAGGTACGGAGACAATGTCCCAAGTTCGGTTTTGTTCAAGGGCAAGGACCACATTTTGCATGGCAGCACACCACTCAGGGAGTTGAGAAGCTTGTCAGTAAGTTGTGGGTTTATAATGGGTGCATAAAGCATTCACAAAAGCCATATGGGTGGGAGAGAGACAATGATAAGATAGGTAATTAGACAGCGGATGAGCTGTGCTGGTGGAACAATTATAATCTAGGAGATATTTAGGGGGATGAGAGGAGCGGGATGATCAAGAGGAAGAAGTATCAGTGGTGAGTTGAGTAGGAAGAGACTTAACAAGAATGGAATTGAGAGAAGTTAAAATAAGAGAAGAGGATATAAACGAGAAGATGAACCCAAAAAAGACAACATCCTCGGAGATGAATACACGGTTGGATTGAAGGTCCAACATCTTATAGCCCTTGTATCTTGGTGGGTAGCCTATGAAGACTGCAGGTAAGACTCGAGGAGAGAACTTGTGATGTGAGTAGAAAAGGGTGGAAGCATAGCAGAGGCAACCAAACGTGCGAAGATGAGAATATTGAGGGGACTGCTTGTAAAGAAGGGTGAAGAGGGTGTTGTTCGACAGAACAGGAGAAGGGGTGCAGTTTATAAGGTAAACAATCGTTAAGACACAGTCCTGCCAATATAGAATAGGAATATGAGATTGAAAACGGAGAGCTCGCGCAACGTTAAGTATATGTTAATGTTTGCACTCTACCACAGAGTTTTGTTGTAGTCGTTCAACACATGAATGGAAGAGTGCAATGCCTTTAGAGGAGAAGAAAATAGTGTTGAATTTAGGGGCGTTATCACAAGGAACAAACTTAATGGATCGGTAAAACTGATTAGAAATAAGAGTATAGAAGTTGAAAAAAAAGAAGGAAATTCAAACTTGTGTTTGAAAAGGAAAATCTATGTATACTGAGTGCAATCATCTACCAAGGTGAGGAAATAACGGTAGCCATCAACTAAAATGGGGGAAATGGACCCCAAATATCACAGTGAACAAGGTCAAAGGGATATGAGACAATTTATGATTTAATAAAAATGGTAAAAGCTTTTGCTTTGCTAAAGGGCAAACAGTACAAGGTAAACACCAGAAATTGAATCAAGATGTAAACATTTTTTCATTGAAGATAACACTGGTAAAGACAAATGTCCTAATCTAGAGTTCCACAAGGCAACATTACTCGAAATCACAGAGAAACAAAGGGGTGGGGGAACATGTTGGAAAGGGAGAAGAGCAGTGAAATCAAGGACGTATAGACCGTGGACAAGACTACAATCCCAATCATTTTGCCCGAGAGACGTTCTTGGAGAAAACAATGAGATGAGCAACAATATTAGTATCACGGGTAAGGGCACTGATGCTAAAAAGGTTAAATGAAAAAATAAGAACAAATAAAACATCATGAAGAATCAAACATTCAGATAAAATAGTAGAACCCTAGAGGCCACTGGAACAACCTTGCCATTGGGAAAAGACACGATTGATTCAGAAGAAAAAGGAGAGGTATCGACGATAATGGAGCACACGACACGTGATGAGAGGTGTTAGTGTCCAAAACCCAGCAAGACGAAGGTAAAGATGAGGGGAACTCACAACTAAAGCTATCAATGGTGGGATTAATGTCAACCTTAAGGGAAGGTGGCTGAGAGGAAAGGAAATTAGGGTTGTTGTTTTGAGATAGAAGTGAGAGGAGTTGCTGGTATTGGTGCAGTGTAAATGTTAGTGAATGAAAGGGTGAGTCAGGAATGGGGGAAACGACAGCATTGGACTAAGGGGTGGTATTGGGCTTATTCAGTTTAGGGTTATATCCAAGTGGGTAACCATGCAATTTGAAGAACTTGTTCTTGGTGTGGCCCAAGGTGCTATGAGTACATAAAGGACGCTAACAACGCGGAGGCACACCAGTGGCAGCGGCAACAGACAGTGGCAGCACAATGGGTTACATCAAAGAAGGGGTTAGAACCACCGAAACAGAAGTCTTGATTTCGCATTGACGCTCCTCATGCAACACCAAAGAGAAAACCTTGATAAAGAGGGAAGATGATCCATAAGAAGGATTCGTGCCATGATTGAAGAGTAAGAATCGTTCAACCCCATGAGAAAATGCATAGCATGGTCCTGGTCACGATCATTAGGGATGGATCATAAGGCACCAAAGTGCAGGGATAAGAAGATCAGTAATCAAGGTGCGCATCCCATGGAGTTTTGAGACGGGTATAATAACCATTTACATCAAGAGCACCCTATTGCAGAGAAGATATCTGAAGTTTCAATTCAAAAATTCGGGGAAAGATTCAAGAAGCGTTTGCTTGATGGAAACAGGTGTTAAGATCTGTCCGAACATCGTAAGCATTGATGAAATACGTGTTAGAATTTGTATCTAAATTTTATGGGTTATGAATAAGAAGTGGGTTGAGGAAGGAAAGAAAGAGAGAAGATGAAAGGATGTGTGAGCTATAAGAAATCCCACATTGAACAACTAATAAGAGGTGGAAAAGTATATAAGCTCTCACATCATACTACTAGATTGCCCCTTGGGGCACTACACATTTTGTGGAAGAGAAAGGAATTTGGTGACCTTTGATCCACCACACGCGCATCCGCCGCCATCCGATTCAGCTCGGTTCGGTTCATGCGTGTATATGAAATAAAAAAAATTATTAAATTTTTTTATTATTTTTTATCCAATCGTTGCTTCCCTCCAAATTCAAACTAAAACGTTGAACCGGTGCGTTCGGCTAAATTTGAACTGAACCGGTGAACCGGTTACCGATTGTACCACTTCGTAGTCGTCAATCACATATATATAGATACTGAACCCTTCAAAAAATTATGTAGTTTTTTGCAATGGAGAAAAGTTATACTTATAATATTTTTTATCTCCTCATTGAATGAAAACCATATAAACAATTACAAAATAATATCAAACGACAGCAGTTACTTAGCATAAACTTAAACAAAATGGGGGCGTGTCATCCCCCCTCCTCCTTTGTCTCTCTCGGCACAGTTAAAGATGATAAGTGAAAGGGTCATTATATGGTTTTAGTAATTAAAAATTGAATGATATATACACTAAAATTGAAAGTTTCGGATTTTCTTTATAACTCTAAACTTTACTTTTAGTCATCACATGATAAAATGGAATGGAAGACTCATTTCATTTATAGTAAATAGTAAATACTAAACGCGTTAAAACAGCAAGGAGAACTTTGTACCGTAATTGAGTTACAGCTTAGGAGTTTGTTGACAAATGATCCTCACTTTTACTAATAGACAATTAATAATTCATAGAATGATCAAGGTATAATAACCTATAAATGTGATTCAAGGCAAAGATACAACTCTAAGAATACAACATCTATATATATATATATAAGTACAAAAGTGTCACCTATTCACAGCTTTTTTTCCCAGCAATGCAGCAGAATGTGCAAGTTTACATATCTTATTATAATTATATTGTTCAATTGCCTCTTTATCGAATATCGCATCTGACAAAACAACTGATGATGCTCCTCGCAAAATATATTCCCCAATAGAATCTACAAACAATTAGAGATAAAGTCATTCACATTGGGTGTTTATGCCAATGGAATTAATTTAATTTACTAATTAAAACTACTTGTGTCCATTGACCATGTATGGATGAGTTTAGCACTACAGATATATGTCAAAAGCTGTTACAGAAATTTGCTTGTTCCATAAGCTGCTTTAAGTATTGTGGTTGGTAACTAGTTTGTCAATAGGAGTGTTTGCTAGAAACAATATCATATTTTGCATGAGTAAATATGTTATTGATTTATTTATTTTTATAAAGCTTCAACTTAAGAAGAAACTTCAATATTATTAAATGATGAAGTATGTGTTTGGCAAAAGAGAACAATGGAGTGAAGTGTTTTAAACAGAAATCCGTTGACAAAAACAGCTGTTTCTAGACATCAATATCAACATCACCTTTATCTTATCCCAAACTAGTTAGGGTCGGTGGCATATGAAGCCAAATGAAAAGTATGAAGAAAATGAGGGAAGAAAAGATAAAAATAAAATTAAAAGAACTATAAATAACATTAGAAATGAAAACATAACAATAAACAATTTAGAAGAAGAATAAAATAAAATAAAAATTGAAAATAAAGATACATAAGAGAGAAAATAACATAAGAAAATAAAATAGAAAAATTTAATAGAAAAATAGATAGAAAAAAATATAAAAAAAATAGAGAGATAAAAATAAAGAAAAGGAAGAAAATAAATTAATTAATAAGAGATGACAAAGAAAAAGGGAAGAAAGTGAAATAGAGGAAAGGAGAAAGAGGGAAGAAAGTGAAATAGAGGAAAGGAGAAAGGAAAAAAAGTAAATGTAGAAAAAGAAATAGAGGGAGATATAAGCGGAAAAGGACTAAAAAGGGACTATTTGGAACATAGGAAGCAAGAACGGGTCTAACCCTCCACAATGCTAATAGCTTTCCTCCAATCCGTCCTAAGACACAGTGTCCGCCAATCTATATCTCACTCCATTAAGTCTTGTTCTATTATTTTCCCTAGGCAAGTTTCAACCAACCTCTTCCTCTCTGTTTTGAATTCTTGGTAACACACTTTTGTTCTTACAGGAGCATCAAGAGGTCTTCGCATTATGTGCGCAAACCATCTCAATCTATGCTCTCTCATCTTTTCAACCATCGGTACAACTCCTACCTTTCTTCAAATATCTTTATTTTTTATTTTATCAATCCTTGTATGACCCTACATCCACTTTAAGATCCTCATTTTCACTACTCCCATTTTATGCTCATATTGCTTATATTCTGGCCAACATTCATGTTAATCAACGTTGAGAATGAGAAATAACGAGCATTCTAATATCCCAAGTACTGGGAAACCTATTTGTAAAATATTCGAGGATGAGACATATGAAAAGGGAAGGACTTTCATGTTGGTAATGACATATTAAACATAATAATCCTAAATATTTTATATCTTGTACCCATATTTAAGTTCTGATCCAGTTTTTAACACATATCCTGATTACTGCAAGAGGTGGAGATTTTAAATATTTGGTAATACCCATCTATCTCTATAAAATTGTCTATTGTGTTATGAACATAGATCAGAACTTAAAATCAACTCAATATATAACACAATAGGAGAAACTGGAAAACTACCTATTGTTATTCCCTGAGAAGCAACCATAGAGACATGAGGAAAGGGCTTCTTGAGTGCTGATATGTACTGAAATCCTCCTAGTGCAGAAACTGGATAAACCTATCCAACAAAATAATAGTCAAGTATAAGAAATTCTTTAAAAATATATAATCAAATCAATGTTAGTGTATGAATGAAAGAAAAAATAAATAAATAATAAACCACCAATATTTGTTATTCTTTTCACAAAGTGTTCATCTATATATATATATATATATATATATATATATATATGATGTTACAAGTTAGAGAAGTATATCTTGAGTCTTGACCATTGGATCATTTCATGAAAGGTCAAGATTAGAACTTAAAGCCATGAGAATTTTAGGTTACGTAGTAACTTCTAATTCTGACCATTCATGTGTATTTTTTATACATCTTAGTGCCTGAGTCAATATCCGGCTGCAACTCAGGGGGACAATAAAAAATAAAAAGACAAGGAGTCTAGATTTCATGCAAATTTACAACTTCAGCAATCATTGCAGTCGATGAAAAGATTAATACATTGCTCGTATGTCTTGAAGGATAAGAGGAGCTAAAGGTTGCAAGATAGAATATTAACAGCTCAAGCCCTTTGTTATTATTACTAATATTGAGGTGGAGGATTGGACTTTGAAAAGGTAGAAAATCATGCCAAGCAAATGCTTCCTCCAAATAAAGCTCCAATAGCGACCAAACTTACTAGGAGCAGAAAATTTATACACATCTAAGTGAAGTGGTAATTTGATCTCAGTTGGAATCTTTATGACATGAATTATAACCCTTTATAAAGAAAAACTAATTGAACATGTGACAGCTCCAAATATAACTAATCCTTCAGATCAGTGTTGTAAAAACGTAGTGTCGAAACGTAGAAACGGACCTTGTCTACGTTTTTATGACCAAAATCGAGTCAAAACGGTAGTTGAAACGGGTTTTGAGTCGAAATGGTTGAAACTCCGTGTCAACTCGGTAAACTCGGTTGACTCAGCGAGTTTATCGAATTGACTCAATTTTTCTTTTTAAAAAAAAAAACTGTTAGATCTGACGAAGAGGGGAGAAAGAGAAACAAAGACGAAGAAGAAGGAGAACAAGAGCTTCATCGCCAACACCTTCACCATTATTGGTTGTTACTCCAACCCAAACCAAAACACAAAAGAAGAAGAGCAGTTCAAGTTGCAGTTTTAGAAAGAAAAACTGATGACATTGCTTCTTACTTGTTTCTATGCTTTCTTTTCTCTTCTACTCTTGCTTTAGTTTTGGCACTAAATAGCTCTTGATGCAAAGCATTTAAACTATATCCTCCGTTAAGAAGGGAGAGAGAGAGAGAGAGCAATGTCAGTGTTAATAAAAGGGAAGAAGAAGAGACTCACCGCCACACTCATAGTCATGCTTGTATATTATTATAATCAATGCTTTAAGTAATTAATAAATCCATGAATAATATAAAAATACATATAATATGAATTTTTTTTGCATAAGTTCAAATATACATATATATATATATATAAAACACGTAATAATAAAAAAAATTATATATATTTTTAGTCATTAATTAGCTTAAATTTAATAACTTATATAATTAATACATTAAAATCATTCTATATAAATTAAAACAGATTAAAATTGACATTCTTATAAAATAAACATGTTTGTGGGTTTTGGTTTTATATATGGTGGATATATATTTTATTTTTAATACGTTAGTAAACTCTTACGTTTCGTTTACGTTTTTGCTCACCCCTACCGTTTTTATACAGACTCTACGTTTTAACAACATTGCTTCAAATCCTTTTTCCTCTCATCTCTTGATTACCTATCTACCGATCAAATGTTTCACTGGTAATACTTTTCTCTCTCTTCACTCATTATCTCTTTCTCCCTTCCCTAGTTCTTGCATTAATATCAAATTTAAAATTATCTATCTATAGTATACTTATGAGACGAGCTGAACAAATTAAACAGTTTTTTCTTATAAAAGGAAATAAGTTGCACGCAGACTGGTATTTATGTGTGCAAGCTAGGAGGTATAATTCCTAACGAAGCAGATACAGACAAAGGAAAATTGAAGAAATGAGAAAATGCAAAGCCAAGAAAACCAAAATATTGTCCACTAATCTCTGCAAAAAGTGATGAAAATCAATCAAGTGAATGTATTATGTATTCTGTCTGTATTTCAATATTATTCAACACGGTAAACAAAACAGAACATCTGAACATGAAAAGGCCTACCTTGACCAGTTTAGCACCTGCATCACATGCAGACAATATCTGCATCGCATACAGTGATGATTAAAGAGAGGTCAAATGAATGCTAGAAAAACAATGCAAAAAGTAGAAAATCGATGATGCAAGAATGAATCACAAGATCAGTATAAGCTTGAAGCTAAAAGTTGACCCTTACTTCAGTTGGAGTCATAGCGCCAGGAATATATAAAATTTCCCCACTCTGAATGTAATCCATAATGTCCTGATAACCAATAAACAAGTTTAAGGAAAAATACACAGTCAATAATCTCGAAAGTCAATTCTAACAATAATAATAGGGAAAAGAAGAAAACAAAATAATAATAGTAATAGTAATAATAATAATAATGATTAAAAAAAGTTGCGATTTAGCACAAGCAGGTGACATCTTAGTATACAAAAATAAAATTTCAAACCTTAACAATTGCAGGACTCATCAGAAATTTGGCTCCAGCATTAATTGCAGTTTTTGCATCCTCAATCCTGAGAACAGTTCCAACCTAAAGGCAGATATCTGTTCTGTTCAGACAACCGTTGAAAAGAAATGTAATTCTATAAAAAAATTATTGTAAATGATAGAGTCTAGAATAGATCATCTATATATTAAAACAAATCATAAGAATTTGCGATAGGATTCCTTTACAAGTCAGTAATACTTATAATTAAAAAAAAAAAAAAAAAACTCCCATGCAATTCCAAGAGAACTCAATTTTATTACAGCATTCTAGACATGACTGAATCAAAAGAAATTTAGAGACTTCACGTAAATTTTGGTGATATTACTTAGTCAAACTATTGGAAGCCAGATTTGAATTTCCTCTTAACTGATGATGGGGCTATAATATTTATATACCTATCCACATGCATAAGACACCCACCACTAGAACTATTGCAAATACCTCAACTCTCAATTTTTCCCAAAATTTCTACAAGGTATTGGGTTTTGTTAGTAATAATCCAAAGAATAAATCATTTTTCTATGTTTGATAGCTAACGAAAATTGAGACACAGAAAAGAATAATTAAGCAGTCTTTGATAATAACCATCATTTATGTTTCAATCAACACATCTATTAGCTGATGATGATATATGCAGATACAATCTTCAGAACTTAAAATTCAATATCTGAGAGAATGCAATGACATTTTCTCCACATTCATAAGTTCTGGGCAGGTTCATGTGATTTACATCCTAAAAAAGAACATTGATGCCATGTAAAAAACCAGAAACTTAAAGGACGAAAGCATACTCCTAAAGCCATTGTAGGATGCTCCTTCACCAGCTGCTGTAGAACCTACAAAGACCAGAAGAATATGAATTCCAAAGCTCAGAAGAGTCAGAACAAGAACAGTAAGGAAGCAGAAAAGCTTAGGTAAACAACCTCAAATACCCCTGGGGTTGACATCACAATCTCCAACTACATGCAAAGAGAAAAAAGATGATGAGAAACACACCATTAAAATATAGATTTGAGCACATTATATTCCATGTCCTAATTCATTGTGCCACAAACTGCAGACCAAGAAGAACCACTTTGTTGTAGCATATAAAACTTCTTAACTTTTCGAAATTTCATATGATCCGTGAGCAACTCAGAATTAAACTTTGAAGTGTGAACAAAATACTCCTAAGTAATTCATTTTTTTTTTTTTTGTAATGCCACATAGCTTGAGCTGAGTAGCTGTGAAGTTGCTCCTTTGTGATCGGAAGGTAAGGATTCGAGTTTAGAAAACAATTTATATGTAAAAAGTAAGGGTAAGACTGCATACAATCGACCTTCATCACTACCCTCGCAAAGTCGGAGAGACTTGTGCACTGGGATTTGCCCTTTAATGCCATAAGGCTAAGTGACTTTCCATGTAGATGGCCCAAAAGCATTTGAACTGATTCAACTATTAGGATCAACTTCAAAACTTATAGTAGACGAAAACGATCCATGCAAATGTCCTCAAAGTTTTATTATTTCTAAAATTAATTTGATAAAACAAAATAAAAGAAAATGAAAAGTAAACTCACAACTGAAATGCCACCTGCTATTGCAGCATTTGCAGCTTTAATGCCATAAGGCTAAGTGACTTTCCGTGTAGATGGCCCAAAAGCATTTGAACTGATTCAACTATTAGGATCAACTTCAAAACTTATAGTAGACGAAAATGATCCATGCAAATGTCCTCAAAGTTTTATTATTTCTAAAACTAATTTGATAAAACAAAATAAAAGAAAATGAAAAGTAAACTCACAACTGAAATGCCACCTGCTATTGCAGCATTTGCAGCTTCCCAGGCCACTTCTGCACTATATGTAAGTGAAAAATAAAAAAGTAAGCCAGCCTAAACAGAATTCCAGACTGCAAAAATAAAATAAAATTATTGACTACGGTTGTGACTTGTGAAAATTAGTCTCACACTAGCACACTAAAAATTGAATTCAGTCATCAAGAACAAAGACACGGAGAAAACTTGCCCCAGTTCAGCAAAAAGGGCAAAAGTAGACGAAAATTAACTTCACATCCTCAATATTCAGTAAACATATCTAATTATACAGCAAATCCAGATTTATTGGGTTGACTAATCGTCTTTTAGTTTTGTCACTATTCAACCACGTCTATGCTGTCCCTTCCTATCCGAACAAGTTTAGACTGCACTAATCTCGGACACCTTATGCCTCAACCTCATCTATAACAAGTAGGGCATGCCTACCTTATATGTTGCATAACACCAAAAATTATAACCGTTAGTCCCAACCTTGCAGTCTAAGAAACAAAGTTTTCTCCTTTTTCATCATTGATAAAGTTCCCTTTACAAGAAACAAGATACCCGAAACAAATTTAGAGTAGCAAACCCTTTCTTCTTGGAAACATATGTGGAAGCGCACTTCCGATTGTCATATTAGTATATTTCGCAAGCTGTATTTCTTTTGTATATTATTTTGTATTCTGTTATTCATGAGGTATTGTTGTACATAGTTTTGCTAGCTCATGGTTAGTTATGCCTTACTTCCTTTTGCAATATATGTATACAGAGAACACTAAACACAATGAGAATAGTCAGATTCTGTTTTCATCATCTTCTTCCTCTCGTTTTCTCATTTCTCATAGTGTAAAAATGTCATTTACCAAATGTTATAGATTTTTTTTTCCTTAGGCAAACAGATGGCTTGCATTACTTATGCCATCATCCAAAGGGGATGATGGCCATTAAGAATTTCAATCTCTAGATTTCAATGGCAAATATTTAGAAATCATGTCATAGAAGAATGCTATGGTGTCGTGTGAACAGAAAAGTTTCAATACACACATCAATGTATCAAAAAAAAAGGCAAGAATAATCAAATATAGTGTCAACCACCCAACTGCAACAAGTACTAATGAAATTTAAACCCCCAAACCCCCCACCCATCAAATAAAATGAAATAAAATAAAAAATTTCAAGGATAAGCAATTAATCACCCTTTCTTTCATGAATTCCTAGAAGAAGATGCCCAAGATGTTCCCACCAAAAACAAAACTACGGAGAAGGAAAAGAAAAAACCCCAAAAATGATTATCAGAAAAGTTTATTTTTTTGAAAAAATAAAACTTGCCCCCTAGTTTTTTTCTTCAAAGATTGCTTCATAAAAATGAGAAACCAAGGAAAAAAAAAAAAGCAGAGAAGAAAGGGGGACCTGTTGGCCCTAAGGCAAGCTATGACACCAGAATTCTTAATCTGGCTGAGGGTTTTTTCAACTGGGGATGCTGAAAGCTGAGGTTGAGGCTGAGGGGCTCTGCATGAAACCGAAACCCTGGCACGCAAATGCAGAGAAGAAGAAGGAGGAGGAGGAGGCCATTGACACAAGGTTAAGGTTGCAGTTGCAGTGCCCATTGTAATTTATCATAATATTTATTTTTAGATGAGATATTATTATAAGTTATTATATAACCTTCCAATCTTCAGCTTTTATGCACTTTTCCTACATTACCTTTCAAAGTTCAAATTCTTCAATCAACTTTTTTTTTTTTTTTTTTTTTTTACAAAAACTGTTTTTTTAAAAAAAAAAATCTGTTCGAATATCTATTTTTTAAAAGATTAAAAGTCATAAAAAAGCTAAAAAAATTATTTTTTTTGGAAGCTATAAATTTGAGCTTATAAAAAACGTAAAAGTTAAAAACAAAATAATTTAAAAAAAAATGTAAATAGCTTTAACTTTCGTAAAAAAATTACTTTCAAAATAAACAAGATATAAAAAATAATTTTTTTGGAAGTTCATCCAAACGGATAGTTATACACAAGAAATGGCTTTGAGGATACATGAGAATATATATATGAATGAAAAATATAAGTCTTATATTGCATAAAAAAATTATCTTATGCAATACATCCAAATAATTTTATGCCAATTTTTTTTTAATTATGGATTTCACGTATTTGTCTCACTCATATGATAGTACTATTTTCAAATTCCAATAACACGATAATATATATATAAAGACTTCACATGTTGCATGAGAAGTCTCATCTTCTACCACTCTCAATTCGATGTCTGTGCCAATCACTTTTTTATTTTTTATTTTTTCTTTAAGGTGGGCCCCACCCCTTTCTCTCTCTGTAAGAAAACTTGAATTTCTCATGCAACATGAGAAATTACAAGCTCATATATATATATATATATGAGGAAGGTTATACTTACAACTTTTTTTTTACAATCTCTTACAACTATATCTTAACACCGTTGATTTCCGCCAAACAGTTATTATTTATTGTGAATTAATAATTAATTAATAAGTTTAATTTGCAAAAATCATACCCGTTGATTGGCGAAAATCAACGATATTAAGATATAGTTCTCAAAGGTTGTAAAAAAAAGGTTGTAAATATAAGGTTCATATATATATATATATATAGCCTTCCAACTTTTTATTTTATTTTATACATACCAATCTTCTTCTTTTATTGAGTCGTACGAAGGATTGAAGGTAATGTTTCATGGACCTATCTGTTTGTTTTGACTCTATTGAGGTTAGTTTTCTTTTTCTTTTTCTGGTAAGCAGAGGTTAGGTTTTTACTCTGCTTCTGAGAGAGAACTAGATTTTCCATTTTATAATTTTATTTTCATTTTACAACGACATATATTATTTCATTTTCGTCTCGAATCATTTCAAAACTCAGTATATATGTCTAACAATACGAATTAAGAAAGAAAAAATTATTAGTTGAATAGTGTCAATATACATAGGATGAAATATGTGCAAATGTCCTTATTTATATACCTTATTAGTTAATTCAAAACAATTTATATATAATCTAATTTTTTTTTAACTGAGGTGTTAATAAATAGTGGGTTTGGCATTTGTCCTTTTAATTTTTAAATGAGAAAAAGAAATACACAATAAAAATTATGGGAAAGAAAATAATTTTTTTAATTTTAATTTTTATTAAAATTACCGTATTCCTCCCCCCCCCCCTAAATAGTAATAAGATGAATGATTCTTTTACTAGCGCGTTTGATTGAGAAAAATTTTCTTGAATAGTAGAGAAATGTAATTGATAAGGAAATGGTTGGAAAGTGAGTTTGGTAGAAAAATGTAAAAAAAGTTATTTGGTTAGAAAAAAATTTACCGGATAAATTAGGAAAGATTTATAAAGTTTATATTTGGTTTGAGGTAAAATATAGATGAGGAAATAACTTCAAATACAAAATAACCCTTGTAGCAAACACTATTGTGAAGAGGGTATTTTTGGCATCCACAAGTGTCCTCTTTCTCCCATTAGCCTAGGTAACTTGAAAATACCACCTTTGAAGATGTATTTTCAACAGTATTTTTCCCCCCTAATTTTTCACACAAAAGTAGATGACTAGGTAAAATGGATGCATAGCTAAATTTTTTAAAAACTTCAACCAAAGAAGGAAGTCCAAAAATAACATATTGAGATGCATGGCTAACTTCTAAGAAACCCTCAACCAAACGCCCACTTAAGATTCTATTTCTAACTTATATACAAAAAAAAAAAGATTCTATTTCTAACCTGTGCGGATTAGAGCTAAATAATATGTATTAATTAGTTAATTAAATGATAACTAACTTTTTAGGTAAATATTATATTTACAAACGTGTATTAATTAATTGAGTTTGTAAAAAAACAAAAACAAATGATAAATATAACCTGTTCAACTTTTTATGATTAAAAAGTTGTTAACCTATTAACCAGATAAATGTTGTAATCAATAGCTGACTGACTTTTAATAAACAGCCATTGTTCTCCTAGAACAGGGGAATGAATCGCAACATAAGCCAGCAATAGGAAATTACAACTAAAATGATTATTAAATCCTTGCCGTTCATCTAAAATGCTGTCCAAGAATAAATCAGTAGCACTAAAACTAGTATTAATGAGGGGTTATAGAAGTATCATCTCACATGACCCTAGCTAATTTTCCTAGGAAACAAAAGTGAAGAGTTAGAAAATGATAGAAAAAAAGAGAAAAGAAAAAGAGTGGACCCCACGTTTGCATTGTTTGTGAAGGAAAATAGTTTTGGGTTGATGTTACATGATATTGATATTGATAATTAATTTTCTTATTTTACATGATAAAATTTTCTTATGCTACACTCACAATATATGAGTGGGGTTCACAAAAAGGTGAGAAGACAAAAAAGTCAAGATGAGACCCACTCATGTATTGTAGTGTAGCATGAGAAAATTTTTTCATGTAAAATGAGAAAATTATTTCTCATTGATATTACCCATTAATGAGATATGGCGAATGTTAGAGTCTTAGAGAAATACAAAATAAATAATTTAACATCATCCAATGACTTAAGGCTTTGAATTAAAATGATTCTTATCATAAGTCAAACCAAAAGATGAGTTTGTGCAGCACAAGACAAATTAAAAATAAGCTTGTGTCATATTCACTCTTCAAGCATAAAGAATTCTTCCATGAGAGAATATATTAGAGAGATACAAAATAAATAATTTAACCTCACCCAACATCTTAAGATTTTGAATTGAAATGATTCTTATCACCAAAACAAGTTTTGATGCTTTGTGTTCACGGATGTTGAACTCCCATCCAGTAACAAACGTTTTGTTTTCACCATTTCCGCTGTTGCGTTTTACGTTTTCAAGATGTTATACAGGAAAATTTAAAATAGAATAAAAAAATAAAAAAAAAGGAAATCGCACATTTTCAGTGTTCTACGTGATGATCCACAAAACCATTAGTATTGAATAGTGTCAACTATACATAGGATGACATATGATCAAATTTTTTAATAGTAATAAGATGAATATTTCTTTTACTTGGAAAATTCTAAACCTAACTTGTGCTGATTAGGGCTAAATCACTTATTGATTAACTGTATTAATTGGTTAATTAAATGATAACTAACTTTTTAAGAAAAAAAGGTTGTTAACCCATCCACCAGATAAGTGTTGTAATCAATAACTGACTCTTGATAAACTGCAATTGTTCCTCTTGAATAGGGGAATATATAACAACCAACATAAGCCAGTAATAAGAAATTACAACTATTAATAAGGTAAATGCCACCTGGGACAGAGACATATTGTTTTATCCTATAAATGGGTTCGTTTCTGTCATCATACATAAAACACGCTACAACATTTTGAAGCTAAGGCCTTTCTCGTTAATCACAAAAGAAAAACGTTCAAGAGGAGAGAGCACGACAATAGAATAAAAAATTGAATCAAAGAGGGAAAGAAAATATGGGGGATATCCTGCCACCTGCATGTATTGAAGTATCCCCCATAGGGAGTTTCTGGCCAACTGAAAAAATTCTAAATTCTGAGCTCCCCCGTCTTGTCTTTCAAATTAGCTTCACCGTATTACTGTCTGAACTTTTCTTCCTTGTCTTAAAACCCCTCAATCAATCTCGTCTTCTTCCACAGATCATTGTAAGTACATATATATCTATATACAAATATCTACGATAGTAAATATCATTTTGGGTACTTAACAAAAAATACAATTCCATTTTAGTCCTTACAATAAAAAATTAGTTATTTGGTTCCTATGAAATTTAAAGTGGACTCATTTTAGTCTTTTTGACGGATTGATGGGGTCTTTTTTGAATTTGTGAGGGACAACGATTTCAACTAGATGAGTCTATTTTGAACATCTTAGGAACCTCGAGACTAATTTTTTTTGTAACGGATTAAAGTAGGATTTGTTGTTTTGTTAGGGACCTAAAATGATGGTATTTACTCTGTATATAAATGTAACAAAAAATTCTAATTTGTGATTATAACTATTTGTGGGTATTATTCAAAATTGAAAAAATTTGCAGTCAGGTTTCGTATTGACTCGACCATTACTAGGGAGATACTCACGCTTATTTGAGTTAGCTTTTCCTGTGGAAGGGGTCCTTAATATTGAAGTGGTGGCACACTTTGGTCTCATCTACTATGCATTCCTCAATGGTTTGGAGATGAACTTAGATACCATTCTAAAAGTAAGAAAGAAGGCTGCAAGCATAGCCATTGCGGGGATCATCTTTCCAATGGTGATGGCACCGGGTTTATATGCTATACATCGAAAATTTTATGTCAGTAGTGATGGAAATAGGCTTGAAGAAAGTACAAAAAATGCTTATTTACTTTGGACATTAGTTCTCACGGTTACAGGTTTTCCAGTCCTAGCACACACCCTTTCTGAGCTAAAGCTCCTTTATACTGGTCTTGGCAAATCCGCTTTAACAGCTGCAATGGTTAGCGACACATTTGGTTGGGTTCTTTTCACATTATGTTTTCCATTTGCAATTAATGGTGAAAGAGCTATCTACTCAGTGCTGAGCACCATATTTTTCATTGCTATCTGCATCTTTGTGTTACGTCCCATCATTGTAAGGTTTATTGATCGCAGGACAGAGAAGGATGAGTGGGATTATGATCAATTACTGTTTGTGGTGATGGGGGTTTTAGCTTGTTCATATATTACAGATCTTCTTGGCACACATGCCATTGTTGGGGCTTTTGTGTTTGGATTAATTTTACCTCATGGGAAATTTTCCGACTTGGTAATGTCAATTTCAGATGATTTTGGTAATGGGATTATGGCACCGTGCTTCTTTAGTGGCACTGGAATGAGATTTTTCCCAAAGCTCATTTTCAACCAGGCACACTGGCCCTTGACACTGCTGGTTGTGTTCTTGTTATTTATTCCAAAGATTTTAAGCACTTTGTTTACCAGTTTCTTCTATGGTATGCGCGTTCGAGAAGCTTTAGCCTTGGGATTGCTTCAGAATACCAAGGGCGCCATGGCATTCATAATGCTAAACATTGCTTGGGATAGAATGGTATTGATCTATTTCAAACATATTACTTACTCTCAAACTCAATTTTTTTATTTTTATAAACATTCTTAACTTACTCAAACAATAGCGTATTTTAATTGTAAGTTCATGTAATGTGTGTTATGACAGATTTTTTTTGCACCAACCTTTGCTGTTGTTACCTCTGCCGTTCTTCTCATGACATTAGTAGTGTCCCCGGTCATCAATGCCATGTACAAGCCGAGAAAGAGATTTGATCAAATCAAGCTGAAGACTATACAAAAGTTAAGAGATGATGCAGAGCTCCGAATTCTAACATGCGTTCACAATGCTCGCCATGCCACCGGCATGATGAGCATCATTGAATCTTTTAATGCAACAAGACTTTCCCCTATACATGTTTTTGCACTGTACCTTGTTGAACTTACAGGGCGTGGTGCTGCTCTTGTTGCTGCCCACATAGAGAAGCCTAGTAACTATCAGGGAGATCAAAATCTGACAAGAACACAAGCAGAGTTAGAAAGCATCAGCAATGTGTGTGAAGCATTTGAACAGCAACACGATGCTGTGAGAGTTGAGACCTCAAATGTTGTGTCAACCTATGAAACCATTCATGAGGACATATACAACTTAGCAAAAGAGAATGGTACAAGCTTAATTCTTCTTCCATTCCACAAACATTTAAATACAGAAGGTGTGCTTGAAACAACAAGTTACAGTGTTGTATACAAAGATATAAACCAAAATGTAATGCAAGGTGCACCTTGTTCTGTGGGAATCTTTGTTGATCGTGATCTTGGGTCAGTCTCCAAAATGAACATGCGGATTATTATGATCTTTGTTGGAGGGCCTGACGATCGTGAAGCCTTAGCTGTTGCATGGAGGATGGCAGCGCATACAGGAATCAGACTCTTAGTGGTTCGTATTCTTTTGTTTGATGATGCTGCAGAAATAGACACTATGATTCAAGATGATGCAACGGGGATATTATCTTCTGTAATGGATAGTGACACGCAGAAAGAGATAGATGATGAATATATAAATTCATTTAGACTTACGGCAGTGAACAACTATGATTCTATATCCTACTCAGAGGTTGATGTCCATAGGGGTGAAGATATTCCCACAGTCCTCAATGAGATAGAAAAAATTGGCTGTGATTTATACATAGTTGGACAAGGGAATTGTAGGAACCTTCGGGTCTTCTCAAATTTATTGGAATGGTGTGATTGCTTAGAGCTTGGAGTTCTAGGGGATATTGTGGCCTCTGACAATTTTGGTTCGCGCTCATCTTTGCTAGTTGTGCAACAATATGGGTATGGAGGAATGAATTTTGCAAAACTTCAGAGCAACAAGGCCGCTAATAAAGATGGTTTTCAGCATATTGTTGTAAGGACTGAATATCAGTTTTGAGTCACCAAAGCGTGTGAGAAACAACACAAAATTCACATAATAGTAGTTGATCGAGGCATGCACCTAGAAACTATTTGAGATATAGCTACAACTACAAGGGATCCTTGTGCTAGCTGTTGCAATGGCATTAGGTAATATTGTACATCTTCGTAACAATTTTGCTATTAAACAACCCTAAACAATCCCAGAAATACCAAAGAACAGATCGGTGAGCTAAAGAATTCAAGTGATTTCAGATTTTTATCATCCTTCCCTTTGCTGCTACTGAACACGAGAAATTTGGAAATGAATCATTTCATCATGTCACATGGTTTGTCGACAATTCAATGGTGACCTGTCTATTCTAATGCTTTCTCTCTTTCGTCTGTGATCATGTCTATGAATAACTGAAATTTCTCACACGAAATCATGTAATATGAGAGGATTTTTTTAGCCTAGATGTATATCAAATTATCAAGTATTTCATTTTTTCTTTCTCCCATTTCCTCTGAAATTATTGGTGTAGTTAAAGGGTTTTTTTTTTTTTTTGCCAAAATCTTATGATCGTATATAATATCTTCTCTTTTGAAGGCTTACATTTACATTGTAATATTCAAATTCTTCGATTAAATGTTACGCTCACACGTCAAGTGCACCGGTCGCACAAGTATTAAAGAAATGAGTAAAGTATCGTTCCCACGAGGATTAGCGTCTCAAGCACTAGTTCACTATTTTTACTTAAGTTGGACAATTCAAATGAGATATTTGATTTAAAATTAATAATAATCAAAATAAAAAAACAAAACGCAAACTTAAAAATTCAAGCAATCAGAAAAACATAGTTAGGAATTTGATTTCCCTCAATCTCCCCTTTATGTTCTGAATTAAGATCTTAATTAATTGTTGTCTTAATTGTTGTTTTTTTTATATTATCAATTCATCTAATTTATTTAAAACTCAATCTCTTGGTATTCTAACTCTTTACTCCCTTAAGAGAATTTTAATTTCTTGGTGTTTCTCAAAAGGATTTAAACATTCAAATCAAGAATTATAACAATGGTATAAGGATTACACGATTCATATTTCTATCTCTAGAGGATTTGGATCCTCTCATGTGAAAAGTGGACATGTTATTTGATTATAACCACTCATTTAAAAGTCATACATTTTTCTCTCTTATCTCATCATCAATGAGTGGTTGTGATCAAATAACAGGACCACATGACCACTTTTCCACATGATAGAATCCAGATCCATCTCTAGATTCATACAAATCAATGATGAATTCACCAATTCCGATTCGTATACCAACATCTCTATTGTCATACATGAACCTTAGATCAGTCTACAAGAAGATTGACTCATAGAAGCATAAAGAACGAGCAAAATCATTCAATATAAAAAGAGAAAATTGCATTAAAGATTAATTCAGAAACATATAGATTCAATTGGATTCCATCTAACCCTAACTACAAAGAAAATTAGCTACTCATGGAAAAAACAAAGACAAAAGAAATCATAGAGGCTTCCCCAAACTGCATCGCAATTAGGGCGTGGTGAATCTCTATGAATCCCTACTTGATCTCCCTTGAAAACTATGCTCCCCGTGTCAAGTCATATCAAAGACCAATGAGTCATGAAGAATAGCTAAAATAGGTTTAGGAATCCTTGTTTTAGGTGAAAACCATGTAATGGGTCTTAATTGAGTTTCAACTGGGCGTTAAACAGGTTGGAGCACGTTAAAATGCACTATTTTGACAACAAAAATATGGTTTCGTATTTTGGCCATAACTTGAGTTATACTCGTTCAATTTATATGATATTGATCTTGTTGGAAATATAAAAGAAAGATCTACAACTTCTATGAAGAACATGAGATCTAAATCTATCATCTTGGATACAAAAAATTGGTCGAAAGACAGCTTTAGGGAGATTTTCACTAAATGGCTTCTCATTTATCGCTTTAAGTCCTTCAAGTTTAACCATTGCTCCAATGCTCCAATTCAACTCAATTGTCCTATAAAACAAGCAAAAATCATTCATATAAGTCAATAATTCAAACTCCATGCTTTTTAGCCAAATAACTCTAAATTTTTATGCTTTTGACTAGATATAAAAGTGATTTTAGTGCTTAAAAACATGATAAACTATGGGTTTATCATTAACCTGCTAACGAGGATCCTTATTAAATCCTTGCCATTCATCTAATACCTTACACAAGAATAAATCAATTAGAGGTGGTAATTGGCGTTGACACGATACAATCAAATTTAACATGACAAGAGCTTAATATGAATAGAGCATGAATTTTAAAACGGATTAAATCTTTCAACATGAACACAACTCGTTTATTTTGCAGGTTGACACGACAAGACACAAATAACATGCTAATCTCAAAGGGTATCGCTTACTATAATGACCCTAACTGGTAAATCTTAGTTAGAGATTTAATTTAAGGATTTAAATGCCATAATTAGATTCAGTGAGCGATTTCGAGTATTTTGACTGTAATCATGACTATGTTATGAACAGTGCGTTCTGCCGGAGAATTTACAGTTTTGTGAATTAACCGGTAGAGCTTAAAATGAGCAAAATAATTTTAGGAACATAATTTGAAAATTCTGATGACAAATATGAGTTCAGAACGAAAAATTGTATAGTCTGGCACTTTCCGTGAAAATCTCGTGAATAGTGTTTCTACCGGGTATTTTGTACTGCTGTTTAAGCAACCGGTAGAGTCCAGAAATAAATAATTGATGAAATAAGAATAAGAAAGTCCAATATATGCCAAGCAAGTCAATATAGGCCCAAGAAAATGATAAGTTTATAAGTTTTAAGTTTCGTAAGTAAAGGAAGTACAATTAGTGATGCACAGTGCATTTCGTCAAAAACGGTGCAAAAACCATACTGTGAATTATGAATATTGTTCCTTAGGAAATAAAAAATTAATGTAAATGATTTTAGGAAATAAAAAATATGTTTGTAGCTTTGAGTTAGTTCCGGGTCAATTTAAGTTAAAATACGCGATAAAAAAACATCCGATGAAAATGGCCACATGTGCCTATATAGCCTTGTCACTTAAATGAAACACTATTCATTTCAGATTTTCTTCTTCTCTCTCTTGCATGGCCGAGCTGCACATGGAGGGGAAGGGGCTAGGGTTTCAAATTTTCCTTCTTTGATTTCTTCATCATCCATCCACCAAATCCAATGACCCACCACATGAAATTGATTGGAAACCACTCAATGAATCCATTCCACCTATCCATTTGAGCTATAGTTGAGTGTGTGAAGAGTTATTCCTCCTCTCATTTTCGAGTTACTATTCATTGGAGGAGAAAAAGTGAGTTTTTGGATGGAGCTTGGCTTGGAGATTGCTCTCTAGGCTTTGTACAAGTGTTTAGAGGTAAGAAACCTCTATTTCCATGATATTATTTTGATGATTTAAGTTATGAAATTGATGAGCATATTTTGTTGGGAAATAATTGATGTTAGAATGTGAAATTTATGATGGATTATTGTTGTTTAGGAAGTTATAGTGTTGAGTAAGCATCCACATGTGATATAAAAATTTAAAAGTCCTATTGCATATTCCTCCTAGGTTTCGGCCATCATGGAGTGAGTAGGAGTTATTGTGGAAAAAATTATATTATGTATTGTGAAGGTATAGTGTGTTGGAAATGAGTGAAAATGGATGAGTTAGTAAGAATGCCTAAGTAAAAAGGACTTGGTGTCTAAACTCAAAATAGGAATTTAGTGGAAGCATTCCTAGGTGTTTGCAAGTTGTAATGAAGTAACGAAAATGCATTGTAAAAGAGAAGGATCTTTGGAAATTCCCCTTGTAGGATTCGACCTATAGGGTATTTAGGGACATATTTTGTACATTTTATTGTAAATAAAATGTGTTGTAACAAATTGTATAAAGGTGATGAGTTTTGAAGAAAAATAGCATGATTTATGTTGAAAAATTCCTAAGGGAATGGTTGATTAAATTAAAGAACACCAACGGTTATAAAGAGGTCTAGACTTGTGTATTGGCATAGGATTGGCAAAAATGCAAAGAAAGGAAAATAAGCGATAAAATGTATGCTTATGAAATAATTATGGTATTGCATCATTTTATTGATGCATTGTAAATTATTCTCTAGGTGTGCCTAGGGATTGAGAAGGATCGGAAATCTCTTGAAGCGATAAAAGTAACTTGTTCCACAAGTAAGCGTATTGGTAAAGCTTCAAGAGGTAAGCTCTATGTTTAAGGAGTCTTTTCCTGCTTGAGTGCTCCACCATGGTTAGTGAACTATGGTTGGACTGTATGACTGTGATTTAGATGCTTTGTATAGATGCATTCATATAGAGTTATTTGATAACATGATATGTTTTGCTCTGATATGACTTCTGTAATATGATTTCTGTAACAATCTCTGGCCATTGATTGTATAGTACCCGGACGTCCGCTTTGGGGTCCTCCCTCGGGACTGATGGTGTACTCCTCTGATATGTCTGGTTCCGCTTTGGGGTCCTCCCTCGGGAACACGTGCGTTGATTTCCGCTTGGGGTCCTCCCTTGGGAATGACGGCGCACATCTCTGATATGATATGGATATATGCTCTATTCTGTTATGATATCTGTTATATGTTGTATTTGTATACTCTGTATCTGACTTTCATGCAGGAGTGAGCCAGGGGTATGGAGAATTCTCTATAAACCTGGAGCTTATTGAGATTTGTAATCTCACCCCTCTTTGGGGACACATTTTCAGGTGCCCAGATTTCCGGTGAGTCCTCACTAGGCAGGGACACGACACGTGGCTGAGGCAGTTGACAGACCGGATTTTGAGTGGCTGTAGGCTGCTACCTTTTTGGAGTGTTTGATGTATTTTAGTATTTTCGCATTTGATGGATCATGATATTGATCCTTTATTTTGTATATGGCCTGTATATGTTTTGTACATGTCTGTCAGTTTGATGCATGTACATTTGAGTATTCAGGAACGTTATATGATGATGTAGTATTCAGATAGGTTTATGTTTTGATGGCATGCTGTTAGATTTAGCGGCACGGAGCCATGTTATGCATGCGCCCATGTATGGGTATTCGATTATATTTGGATATCTGGTATTTCCGAATTGATATGTTGTATAAACTGTTTATCAGGAAATGCTTCTGAGTGGGATTGGAAAATCCCCAGTTGTCCGATTTATAGAGGAAACTCTGCCCGATTTTCGTTTACGCCGAGAAAGAATTAAGTTAGAAAAAGAAAAAGTTAGCTCATATTTTCGTAAGTTAAGTCTTCCGCTGTTTTCTGTTTTATCATATGTATGTTAATTGAACCGGCTCGAGACGGGGATGTTACATTTACTATGCGAGTTGACATGACACAATAAGATACTTATTTATTGAATGTTGCTTTCACCAATATCGTGTTAACACGACACAGATTAATATCATGTTTGCAGGTTAACATGCAACATGAAACCACATGACAATTTTTTTACATCAATTTTTCTCAACATGAACGCGACACAAATTTAAAAATTAATTGACTGGAACATGAATTTCTCGTGTTGTGTTCAAGTACTGTAATTGGGTAGTGTTGAAAACCGACAGGCCTAAAATTAGTAGCACTAAAAAATAAATTATTATTATTATTATTATTATTATTATTACTAACAAGTGACAACATTATTTTAAAACAACTAAAATATTAAAAATAAAATAATGTCTGAAATAACATCTTATTATGCATTTCTTACTAAATGTTGAATAGGAATTTCGTAAATTATTTAATTTAATATTACATATATATTGAATTTAGAGGGTATTAAAAAATTATTTTAAATTATAACAATATTCACAAGAAATTATTTTTATAATAATTTTACTCTCAATTAGTTTAATTTAAGTAAAATTAGTGAGTCAATCGAGCCAATTAGAATCATATATCAGCTTAGTTACACCAGAATTTACCTGTTAAACTCCATTATACTCGATTAATATCATAACTAAATAATTGACTAAGATAAACTAAGGTAATGGTTCATCAATCTTACTATTTGTTTTGAGATAACGTTTTATACTGATTAGAAGAGAGAGCAATTTTCCTTCTTATAATGTAATGGCTGAGAAAAAATAAAAAATCTATTTTCGTCTCGCGACTATATATAAAATTTTCTTTGATGTGTTTTTTCTAAGCTAAACTTAAATTAGAGTTTAAAAAATAAAGTTAAAAATTATTTGGTGTTTATTAAATGATGTTTTCAAGGTTTGCAAGATGAAATGATTTGTTATTAGGGTAAAGGATAAAATTTGTAAATAAAAGTTTAAGATAAGTGTAAAAATTAACAATAAATATCAGAACTCCAACTCCAGAGATTTTTACTTTTACTTTTTTTATTATTGTAAAAAGGGGAAAATGTTTGTTATTTTAAATAACACTCATCTGTAATGAAATTACATCATTTTAATGTTTCTATAGTGAAGGTAGATAAATTATCTACATTCACTCCTAAAAAGACGTTGTTTTAGATTAAAAAATTATAATGAGAAAGATTATATATTATAATCCTAAAATAAATTATAATCACAAAAGTACCTTGATATTCGTCTTAAAATGACATCGTTTTGAGCTCAATATAAAAAACTTATCTACATTGACAGCAGAAAAAATGAACCCTTTCTTTTTCTTCCTAATTTTATAAAAAAGAGAAAATGACAAAAGACACCAAAACGACGTAGTTTTATTAAAAATGACATAAAATTGTTTCATTTGAAATAACACTAAATTATGTAATTTAAAATGACAAACACTTTTTTCTTGTAAAAAAGCTTGTTTTTTAATAAATTTTTGTATTTATGCAAAAGAGAAGCTAAAAAAAAGTAATTGTCAAACAAGTACATATTATTTCATTTTCCTCTCCCAAATCATATTAAAAGTCGAGGGAAATTATATATATAATTTTTTTCTCCTTATAATCTTTTATAACCATTTGTTTGATTAAAATCATACTAACGGTTACATAATAATATTAAGTGAGAGCTGTTAATTTGATTTTGACCTAACAATCATAAAAGTAATTGTAAAAGAAAAAAAGAGTTAGTAAATATAATTTCTTCTTATTATATTTGTCTATATTTATGAATTTAAAAAAAATTATTAGTCGAATAGTGTCGACTAGACACTTGTATCCTTATAGGATAGGATGATGTAAAAAGTAAAGGTCTGTTTGATTGTATTTATGTATATATAAAAAAAAAAGTCTGTTTGATTGTATTTTCAATTTTTTGTTCTTAAAATTATTTTATAGAACAATTTTTAAAAACTGTTTTGTAGAAAAAAGAAGAAGAAGAATTACTAGATTGCCATTAACGAGATGTTGTTCTCCGGGTTTCTCTATGATTTAAGAGTTAAAACTTACGAAAGAGAATAAAAACAGATAAGAGACGTTCTCTGGTTTCTGTTTTAAAAACTAAAATATGGATATTGTTTTTAGAATGATTAGTATTAAAAATTCATTACCAAACAACTCTTTTTGGCTCTGTATTACAGAAATCAAACAAATCCTAAATTTCCTCATTTATGCCCTATTACATAATTCACATTTTTAATCTATAAATTTATAATTATTATTTTTTTAATTTAAATCTTGAGGTGTTAATACATATGTAGTAAAAAGATGAATATTTCTTTTACTTTAAAATTTCTACACCTAACATATGCCAATTTGGGCTAAATCACTTATTGGTTAAAGTGTATAAATTGATTAATTAACTAGTAACTTATTTTTTAAGAAAAAAAAATTGCTAATCAATTAACCAGACAAAACTTGATGATAATCCATAATTGATACTTTAATAAATAAACTAATGAAAGGAAGTGTATCATTCGAATGTAGAAATATCAAAGACAGATAATGGGTTGACAAATGACAATTGCATCGTGTGTGTAATGTGTGAAATAAACAAAATGGGAAAAGGAAAAACAACAGATAATAATTGGTTACTGCCATTGTTCTTCTAGAATAAGGGGATGTATAGCAGCAACATAAGCCAGTAATAGGAAATTAAAACTAATAGTAAGGTAAATGCCACCTCAGATAGATACATATGGTTGCAACATATTGTTTTCTCTATATATTATGGCAGAGCCTAGCTCTGTTTCCAGATAAAAAGAAAGGAAGATTTAAAAGTAGAAATAACCAAGATTAAAAATTGAATCAGAGTGTAGAAGAAAAAAAAAATGGTGCTTACTATGCCACAAAAATGTTACGCAGTATCGCTTAGTCCTGCTCAATTCTGGCAAACTGAAAACGTTCTGAATTCCAAGCTCCCCATGCTCGCTGCTCAAATTGTCTACACCGTATTGGTGTCTCGTATTTTCTTCTTTATCTTAAAACCCCTCCATCAACCTCGTCTTATTTCGCAGATCTCTGTAAGTATATATATATATGTACTAGTTGTTAATTATGTTTATATTAAGTTATCTACATTGAGCCCAAAACGATGTTATTTTGAATCGAAAATCAAGGTATTTTTTGTAATTATAATTTATTTTAGGGTTATAATAGTCTTTTTCATTAATTTTTTTTTTAATTTTTCAACCAAAAATGACGTTATTTTAAGAGCGAATATAGAATATAAATAACTTATCTATATTATTGTAGAAATATTGAAAGTCATACTTATAATATTAAAGTTACTTTTTTCTCAATTCACATAAGCAGATACATTCTGAAAAAGTATATGTACAGAGAAAAATAAAAAAGAACAACTTTAATATTAGTTATAAGTGGTGAATGTAGATAAGCTTATTTAAATTAAGCGTAGAAATCATTAACCCATCATTCTAACAATTTGTGGTTATTCGAAATTGGTAAATATGTAGGTTGGTTTCCTACTGACTCCACCATTATTAGGGAGATTCCCATATGTTTTCCATCTCCTTTATCCAAAAGAAGGGGTCATTAGTGTTGAAGTCTTGTGTAACATTGGTGTCATCTACTATGTATTCCTCAGTGGTTTGGAGATGAACTTAAACACCATTCTATACGTAAAAAAGAAGCCTGCTAGCATCGCAGTTGCTGGGATCATCTTTCCCATAGTTATGGCACCAGCATTCTATGCTCTTCATCGAAAATTTTATGCCGGTACCAGACTTGAAGAAAGTACAATTAATTCTTATTTACTTTGGACATTAGTTATCACTGTTACAGGTTTTCCAGTCCTTGCTCACACCCTTTCTGAGCTCAAGCTCCTTTATACTGGTCTTGGCAAAGCTGCTTTAACAGCTGCCATGATTGGTGACACTTATAGTTGGATTCTTTTCACATTGTTGGTTCCATTTTCAATTAATGGTCAAAGAGGCACCTACTCAGTGCTAAGCACCGTGTTATTCATTGTTTTCTGCATCATTGTGTTACGTCCTATGGTTGTAAGGTTTATTGATCCCAAGACAGATAAGGAAGACTGGGATTATGATCAATTACTCTTTGTTGTGATGGGGGTTTTCGCTTGTTCTTATATTACTGAGATTCTTGGGTCACATGGCATTGTTGGGGCTTTTGTGTTTGGATTAATTTTACCTCATGGGAGATTTGCCGACTTGGTGATGTCAGTTTCAGATGATTTTGGTAGCGGGTTTATGGCACCGCTCTTTTTCTCAGGCAGTGGATTTAGACTTCAGTTGAACTATTTGTTTAACCAGGCACATTGGCCATTGACACTGCTTGTGGTGCTCTTGTTGTGTGTCCCAAAGATTCTAAGCACTTTATTTGCCACTTCTTTCTTTGGTATGCGCACTCGAGATGGTTTAGCACTTGGATTGCTTCAGAATACAAAGGGAGCCATAGCACTCATAATGCTAAACATTGCTTGGGATAGATTGGTATTGATCTATTTGAATCATAGTATTACTCAAATTCTTTAATTGTTCACACAATATCAATTTAATCCATAAGTTCTTGTAATGTGTTATTGCAGATTATTTCTGAACCAACCTATTGTGTTCTTACCTCCGGTGTTCTTCTTATGACTGTAATGGTGTCTCCCATCATTGATGCCATCTACAAGCCAAGAAAGATATTTGAGCAGATCAAGCTAAAGACTATACAAAAGCTAAGAGTTGATGCAGAGCTCCGAATTCTGGCATGCGTCCACAATATTCGCCATGCTACCGGCATGATCAACATAGTTGAATCTTTTAATGCCACCAGAGTTTCCCCAATGCATGTTTTTGCCCTTTACCTTGTTGAACTTACAGCACGGGGTGCTGCCCTTGTTGCTGCACATATGGAGAGGCTTTGTAGCAATCACGGAGAACAAAATCTGACCAGAACACAGGCAGAGTTAGAAAGCATCACCAATACCTTTGAAGCATTTGGAGAGGCATATGATGCTGTGAGAGTTGAGGCCTCAAATGTTGTGTCAGACTATGCAACGATTCATGAGGACATATACAACTCAGCAAAAGAGAAAGGGACAAGCTTAATTCTTCTTCCATTCCACAAACATCTAAATTCAGAAGGTGCGCTTGAAACAACAAGTGCTGTATACAAGGATATAAACCAAAAAGTAATGCAAGGTGCACCTTGTTCTGTGGGAATCTTTGTTGATCGTGATCTTGGGTCATTGTTCAAAATGAACATGCGTATTCTTATGATCTTTGTTGGAGGACCTGATGATCGTGAAGCCTTAGCTGTTGCAAGGAGGATGGCAGGGCATCCAGGAATCAAACTATCAGTGGTTCGGATTCTTTTGTTAGATGAAGCTGCAGAAGTAGACACTTCAGTTAAAGAGGAAGCACATGGGTTGATGTTTGGAGTATTAGATAGTGAGAAGCAAAAAGAGTTAGATGATGAGTATATAAGTTCATTTAGACTTACGGCAGTGAACAATGATGATTCTATATCCTACTCAGAGATTGATGTCCGTACAAGTGAAGATATTCCCGTAGTCCTCAAAGAACTAGACAAAATTAGTTCCGATTTATACATAGTTGGACAAAGGAATTGTAGGAACTCTCGGGTGATATCAAATTTATTGGAATGGTGTGATTGCTTAGAACTTGGAGTAATAGGGGATATTTTAGCATCTGACAGTTTTGGTTCGCGCTCATCTTTGCTAGTTGTGCAACAATATGGGTATGGAGGAATGAGTTTTGGAAAACATCACAACCACAAGGCCACTAATAATGGTGATTTTCAGCAGCTTGTAGTGAGGACGGGATAAAGGTTTTAAGTCACCAAAGCATATGACAAGCATAAAAGTTAAGGTATATTCTTTGTGCCTCTTTTTCGTGTCAATTCCCCATGACATGTTTGAGGTCAAGGCTTGTCTGAGATGAGGGATGTGTATGGGTTCATTCAACAACTGAAAACCTAAATATATGAGCATAAAACAAAGGATCACCCCTCTCCATACAAGTTATTTACGAGTGTTCATATTAGGTGTCAAACACACTATGTTATTAGGGCCAAAAGTATGATAAATTATGTTGTAAATGGTAAATTGTATAATGTATATTATTAAATGCAAAAGACTCTTGAGTTTTTATGATTGGACATGATACTGACTTGAAAATATATTGTTTTTAGGTTTAACTTGTTAAATCAGAGCATTGGGGCAATGGATAAGTTAGAAGGATTTAAAGCAATAAAGAGGAGTAACGATTTAGTGAAAATCTCCCTGAAACTGTCTTTTGGCACATTTTCGTATCCAAGATGTTGGATTTGGATCTTGTGTTCTACATAAAAGTTATAGATCTCTATTTTATCTTTCCAACGAGACGAAGATCACATAAATTGAACAAGTATAGCTCAAGTTATGCTCAAAATACGAAATCATATTTTTGCTGTCAAAGTTGTTTTATGTTGTAGCTCACTAGCTTGCAAATTAGCGAGCAGGTTGTATTTCCTCACAAATTTGCTCGCTTTAGCGAGAAAACACAATGAACACGTCGTTTATGAAAGCCCATGAATCTTTTTGTTAAATAGGGCATGTATTAGGGTTTTCTAATCACTTTTTGACGGCTTGGGGACGACTTTGGAGGTAGAGGAGCTTTGTTTTGGACCTGAGAAGGTGGAGGAATGGTCACAGCTTCACTGTGGAGACCGGTTTATGAGTTCTTTTTATGTTTTTCATTAGTTTCTTGTCTATTTTCTTAGTTTCCCTGACTATGTTAAAGGTTAGATGAAACTAATGGATTTCTAGTGATATATATTCCTTTTCTATAATTTGATATTCAGTTTTATGTTATGCAATTAATCTGTTTTGCATTCCTAACTTTGTTTATGAATTGATCACTCATAGATGATATAATATCCCAAACTTAAGCATTTAATTGATTAAATTTAATTAAATAATTAAGCATGTTTTAGTGAATAAAATTAAGTATAAGACTTAATTAAATGAATCTGAGTCACTTTGGAGTTAAAAAGTGTACTCAGTGAAAATTAAGGGGTATAAATGGGTACAGGCAAAAGTGCCTGAAATATAAAAATAAAATTATAAATATTCCTAGAATAATATTCCAGACTTTTGGGTAAAGTTTGGTAATTAATGGAGTTGAATAGATAGATGAACCAATACCCACATAAGCCACTTAACTAAGTAAGTGACTTAGAAAGCAAAAAAGAGCCCCATTTTCCCCAATTCCCCGTCGAGAAACAGAGGCACCAGAAAGAAGAAGAAGGAGGAGGAGGAGAAAGGGAGAGAGAAGAAGAGAGAGAGGAGGGAGGAAACCTTAACCGTTTTGGGTGATTCAAAAGCCTAAACCACTCTAAATCTTCCCCTCTTTCATAATCCAAGCTTGGTTCTTAGTGGGGAGTGTTGTGTTGTGAGATTTTTCCTCTCAAAGTTCCGCCCCTTTGTGAGAATTTGGGGTTTTGGGAGCTTCAACCTCCATTGAAGCTTGAGGTGCCATCAATCCTTGGTTGTGTGACCATTGGTGGTAAGATTCTAACTCTTGAACCTTGTTTTCTTGGAAAATTTCATGGTTAGGGTTTAATGAATAGTGTTTTAGGGTTTTTTATGAAATGTTGAGTAGATTGGCTATGTTCAAGGAAGAATGAGGCTTAGAGTATGTTGTGAAAAATGCTAGGAATGACATTTAATCGGTAGAAATGAGTTTATAATGTTATTTTAGTATGCTTTGATGTTTGGAGAAATCTAGGCTTGGAACTATGGATTTCCTTGCATTGTTAGCATTGTTTGATTGTATTCCTTGTGTTGATAGGATTGAGGCAAGAGGACCAAGTGGAGTGACCAACCCTTGGGGTTGTGTGCAATTGAGGATAGCTCAAGAGCAAGGTAAACCTTTGGACCTTGTGGTTGATCCCATTGAGTGTTCCACCATACTCCGTTGAGGAGAAATGGTTTATGAGATGTGATATGTAATTATGATAGTGATTGTATGCTCATGCATTGATTCATGCATTGATACATGTTATGATTGATTGATGATTATTGGTTGATGTTTGATTGTTTAAGAGTAATTGAGGAATGATTATAGAAGTAGCAATAATGAATGAGGTAATGGTTGAGGATTGTGATTGAGGTTATGCGTGATAGTATTATGATGAGGATGATTGGTAGGAACTTCCCTTGGAAACAGCCCTATGTGGATCTCCATGTGGTTAGAGCCTAAGAGGAACAGCCCTATGTGGATCCCTCTTGGAGGTTCCTAGATTGAGGAAAGGACTTCCCTTGGAAACAGCCCTATGTGGATCTCCATGTGGTTAGAGCCTAAGAGGAACAGCCCTATGTGGATCCCTCTTGGAGGTTCCTAGATTGAGGAAAGGACTTCCCTTGGAAACAGCCCTATGTGGATCTCCATGTGGTAAGAGCCTAAGAGAAACAGCCCATAGTGGATCTCTCTTGGAAGTCCATGTGATGCTTGTGGATAAGAATGTGTTAAGCTATTATGATTATGTGTACATCAAAGTGAACCTTAGGGTGGAGTGATCTCCAAGGACCTCTGGTTTACTGTGATATATTCGTATATCTCACCCCGTGTTGTGGGGCATCATTTCAGGTACTGATAGAGGTGAGGTTGATCGAGGCAAGAAGCGTGAGTAGACTGTACCTGATAGCTGGACATGTTGAGTTGCATGCCATTTAGCATTGCTATATGTATATTTTGATGCCACATGATGTATTTTGGAGGACTTAGTGCATGATCATTGTAGTAGTAATGGGTATCTGATACAGGGTTACTTGCTTTGATCATGTTCATTTTGTAGCTAAGTCCTTTGGCATGTATATGAGATTTGTAATTAAGACATGATGTAATATTGTAAGTAATGAAGATATTGGTGTATGATGCTTACTGTAAGTTAAATGCATGAATGTATTTTTATGTATTGGATATGTTGAGCTGGAAAGTCAATTAGGTACCTTGTGCTAAGTTGGGAAACGTTGAGAAAACAAAGATTATGCTGCCCAATTTCCGTTAAATCAATGATGAGAGGATGAGAGTTGAGCAATGATATAGGGATATCACAAGCTTGTTAAATAGGTTGTAAAATGTGTAGGATTGATTCCCCAAGAAAGATGCATGAAAAATATGAGTATAGGAAATTGCCCAGAAGAGGGGGCTTAAGCCTGCAAATGGAGGCTTAAGCCTGCTCAGGGGGCTTAAGCGCCCATGAGGGGGCTTAAGCGCCCTGATGCACCTGCGAAGACCAAAAGCTTTCTGCCGCATGGGGCTTTAGCGCCCAAAATGGGGGCTTAAGCGCCCAGGTAGCGCGCTTAAGCGCCCTGGAGCGAGCTTAAGCGCCCTTGGTGGCTAAAAAATGTAAATTCCCTCTGTCTGTGCGCGCTTAAGCGCCCTGGAGCGAGCTTAAGCGCCCTACCCGCGTAGTTTTTCAGCATACACCTGAGTTAGTAAAATTGTCATAACTTGAGCTACAGAGCTCCAAATGAGGAGCGGTTTGAAACCACGCGTAGCTAACGAAGAAATCTACAATATAGTAGAAGTTGGGAAATAAATAAGAATTAAATTAATGTTTTAAAAATGGAATAAGAACATGATATTAAGCTTGATTTATCTGATTCCGCAAAGTAATATGGTTATGATCACGCAATTGGGCATTATAAATTCGGCATGTTTTAAAATGAAAAATTTAACCGGATTTTAATTGAACCCATGTGATTGTAACTGCACTTAATATCATAATGCGATGTTAACAAACCGGTTCTAGAACGGGGTGTTACATTTTATGGTATCAGAGCAGTTTCGTCGGGAATAACTGTTAGCTATTGTTGAGTATGCTTAGTGTTTGATGCTTTATAGTTGTTTTAGTACTCTTGATGATTATTGCATTTGTGATCACTAAGTGTGGGCCTGATCAACTCACTTCTTTGTGTAACATGTGTAGTGACATGACGAGGCACCGAAACAACCCCGGACCATCAAACACCAATGCTCAGCCAGAACCTGTTTTGGCTGCTCTTGTGAGGCCCAGAAGTGGCCGTGGGGCAACGGGCGTACCGCCTGATCTCGTGGCTGAAGCTCTTGCAGCCGTTCAGAGAGAGTTGGCTGCTAGCAGGCAAGCCAATGAAAATTTGTTAAAGACAAATGAAGACTCGCGGACTGCTATGGCCGCGATGATGACCGAGTTGAGGACGTTGAGGGGTCCTAGGCCCGTGAACCGGCAACCCACTCCTCCTCCTCACACTGCTACGCCTTCTCCACCTCCTTCACAGGAAGAGGGTGTAGCGGGTAACAATGAAGGTGAGGCTAGCCACCATTCTGATAGTCATAGCCATCACACTGAGGTCCGTCAACCACGTGTTGAGCGTGTTGACGAGCATGAAGCTGAAGAAAGAAGATTGATGGCTTTCCGAAAACACAAACCTCATTCTTTTAAGGGAGGTTATGAGCCAATGGCGGCTGCGAAATGGCTCCAAGCTATGGAGAAGATATTCAGGGTGATGAGATGCCCTGACGCAATGAAGTTAATCTACTCTGTTTATATGCTGGAAGAGGAAGCGGAAGATTGGTGGACTAATACCGTACAGCCCCTAGAAGCTGAAGGCCGGGAAATCACCTGGCGGTTGTTCGAGACGTTGTTCTTGGATAACTACTTCCCTAGAGAGGCTAGGGAACAGAAACAGAATGAGTATAACGATCTCAAGCAAGGGTCGATGACAATTGACCAATATTTCGCCAAGTTCAATGAATTGGTGAAATATGCTAACTATGGGAGAGCCTTACCCATTCCGGCCGAGATGACCTCTAAATTTCAATGGGGTCTAAATGAGAAGATGTCTCGGAAGATGTCAAATTGTGACATCCGAGAGTTTAGTAGATTCGTGAACCAATGCCGGAAGGTGGAAGAAGTTTATGGTGTGCCGAAAAGTAAGAAGTCTTCCGAGGCACAAGCATCTGGTGCTAGTGGAGCAACTGGCTCTACTTCAGAAAAGAGTAAGAAAATGGATGAAAAGAAGAAATTACAAGCTAAACAATCTGAGGAAAAGTTTAAGAGAAGCGGGAGTCAACAGAGTTGGGACAATGAAAGACCTCTTGTGCCCCAGTGTGACAACTGTGGGAGGCATCACAAGGGCGTTTGTTTGATGGGTCAAAACGTATGTTTCAAGTGTGCTAGACCTGGTCACTATGCGAGGGATTGTCCCCAGATCGTGGGACGAGTTTCTCATGTGCAAGTGGTCTATGACCCTTCAGCAGCGGCAAATGTTAGCACTTCGACCCAACCCCAGCTAGAGAGGTTCCCACGCTTGACGGGAGGTATGACGCATGTAGATTAATATGACATGCATAGTTTATTGAGGTTGGAGCCACACATGCTTAGACTGTGGACTCAATTATGATTGTGTGATTCGTTATGTCTAGTAATTAAAGACTAGACTATGTATTGATTGCTAAAAGATGGTAAGTTGTATGCAATGACCTTTCCATGGATGTAGTGGTAGTATTACCTCCATGAGGATAGTATCCTATGAGATAGAGAATTCTCATTAAAGGTCTAGATTGAGGGGAACTTCCCTTGGAGTTAGCCTTCGGGACCTCCTTGTGGTCAGATACCTAAGAGAAACAGCCCATAGCGGATCTCTCTTGGAAGTTCCATCAGATGAGATTTTATGTATGAGGTTATTAGTAGGACCGCAGAAGGTCAGGGTTAAATATCAAGTGAATAGGTATGACCCTTGAGGAAAATGAAAGATAAAAGTGCTTGAACATATTAGTATCACCTAATTATAAAACATAGATTGAAACATGAATGAAACATTTCATCTTATGATAAGATGATGAGGAAAAGAGGAACTGATTAATAGGGTAACTTCGGGAACACAAGAAGAGTTCTCCGATAAATCCATAGATGATTGAATGAGTGGTTTTGTCGATTTTGAGGACAAAATCGTTAAAAAGGTGGGGTGAATATAATATCCCAAACTTAAGCATTTAATTGATTAAATTTAATTAAATAATTAAGCATGTTTTAGTGAATAAAATTAAGTATAAGACTTAATTAAATGAATCTGAGTCACTTTGGAGTTAAAAAGTGTACTCAGTGAAAATTAAGGGGTATAAATGGGTACAGGCAAAAGTGCCTGAAATATAAAAATAAAATTATAAATATTCCTAGAATAATATTCCAGACTTTTGGGTAAAGTTTGGTAATTAATGGAGTTGAATAGATAGATGAACCAATACCCACATAAGCCACTTAACTAAGTAAGTGACTTAGAAAGCAAAAAAGAGCCCCATTTTCCCCAATTCCCCGTCGAGAAACAGAGGCACCAGAAAGAAGAAGAAGGAGAAGGAGGAGAAAGGGAGAGAGAGAGAGAGAGAGAGAGGAGGGAGGAAACCTTAACCGTTTTGGGTGATTCAAAAGCCTAAACCACTCTAAATCTTCCCCTCTTTCATAATCCAAGCTTGGTTCTTAGTGGGGAGTGTTGTGTTGTGAGATTTTTCCTCTCAAAGTTCCGCCCCTTTGTGAGAATTTGGGGTTTTGGGAGCTTCAACCTCCATTGAAGCTTGAGGTGCCATCAATCCTTGGTTGTGTGACCATTGGTGGTAAGATTCTAACCCTTGAACCTTGTTTTCTTGGAAAATTTCATGGTTAGGGTTTAATGAATAGTGTTTTAGGGTTTTTATGAAATGTTGAGTAGATTGGCTATGTTCAAGGAAGAATGAGGCTTAGAGTATGTTGTGAAAAATGCTAGGAATGACATTTAATCGGTAGAAATGAGTTTATAATGTTATTTTAGTATGCTTTGATGTTTGGAGAAATCTAGGCTTGGAACTATGGATTTCCTTGCATTGTTAGCATTGTTTGATTGTATTCCTTGTGTTGATAGGATTGAGGCAAGAGGACCAAGTGGAGTGACCAACCCTTGGGGTTGTGTGCAATTGAGGATAGCTCAAGAGCAAGGTAAACCTTTGGACCTTGTGGTTGATCCCATTGAGTGTTCCACCATACTCCGTTGAGGAGAAATGGTTTATGAGATGTGATATGTAATTATGATAGTGATTGTATGCTCATGCATTGATTCATGCATTGATACATGTTATGATTGATTGATGATTATTGGTTGATGTTTGATTGTTTAAGAGTAATTGAGGAATGATTATAGAAGTAGCAATAATGAATGAGGTAATGGTTGAGGATTGTGATTGAGGTTATGCGTGATAGTATTATGATGAGGATGATTGGTAGGAACTTCCCTTGGAAACAGCCCTATGTGGATCTCCATGTGGTTAGAGCCTAAGAGGAACAGCCCTATGTGGATCCCTCTTGGAGGTTCCTAGATTGAGGAAAGGACTTCCCTTGGAAACAGCCCTATGTGGATCTCCATGTGGTTAGAGCCTAAGAGGAACAGCCCTATGTGGATCCCTCTTGGAGGTTCCTAGATTGAGGAAAGGACTTCCCTTGGAAACAGCCCTATGTGGATCTCCATGTGGTAAGAGCCTAAGAGAAACAGCCCATAGTGGATCTCTCTTGGAAGTCCATGTGATGCTTGTGGATAAGAATGTGTTAAGCTATTATGATTATGTGTACATCAAAGTGAACCTTAGGGTGGAGTGATCTCCAAGGACCTCTGGTTTACTGTGATATATTCGTATATCTCACCCCGTGTTGTGGGGCATCATTTCAGGTACTGATAGAGGTGAGGTTGATCGAGGCAAGAAGCGTGAGTAGACTGTACCTGATAGCTGGACATGTTGAGTTGCATGCCATTTAGCATTGCTATATGTATATTTTGATGCCACATGATGTATTTTGGAGGACTTAGTGCATGATCATTGTAGTAGTAATGGGTATCTGATACATGGTTACTTGCTTTGATCATGATCATTTTGTAGCTAAGTCCTTTGGCATGTATATGAGATTTGTAATTAAGACATGATGTAATATTGTAAGTAATGAAGATATTGGTGTATGATGCTTACTGTAAGTTAAATGCATGAATGTATTTTTATGTATTGGATATGTTGAGCTGGAAAGTCAATTAGGTACCTTGTGCTAAGTTGGGAAACGTTGATAAAACAAAGATTATGCTGCCCAATTTCCGTTAAATCAATGATGAGAGGATGAGAGTTGAGCAATGATATAGGGATATCACAAGCTTGTTAAATAGGTTGTAAAATGTGTAGGATTGATTCCCCAAGAAAGATGCAAGAAAAATATGAGTATAGGAAATTGCCCAGAAGAGGGGGGTTAAGCCTGCAAATGGAGGCTTAAGCCTGCTCAGGGGGCTTAAGCGCCCATGAGGGGGCTTAAGCGCCCTGATGCACCTGTGAAGACCAAAAGCTTTCTGCCGCATGGGGCTTTAGCGCCCAAAATGGGGGCTTAAGCGCCCAGGTAGCGCGCTTAAGTGCCCTGGAGCGAGCTTAAGCGCCCTTGGTGGCTAAAAAATGTAAAGTCCCTCTGTCTGTGCGCGCTTAAGCGCCCTGGAGCGAGTTTAAGCGCCCTACCCGCGTAGTTTTTCAGCATACACCTGAGTTAGTAAAATTGTCATAACT